TTAATCCGACGAAAGTTGTACCTCCAGGTGTCGCATGAAATCCTTCAAGTATAAATCGTCTTGGACGATATTTCGGTGAAACTCGTTCCGTTTGCGGAACAAAAGCAACAGGGTTGGAAAGGCCGTCGAATCGTTCCACTTTTGACTTCCTGGTTCATTTCAGGAACACACCCCCTGTGGCCCGGGCAGATCCCACAATACTGTGTGCCTGGCCACAAAACCAATTCAACTTGTCCAGCGTAACGCAGCAAATAGTCAGTAAATAATATCGTTCGACTAGCCAGGTAACCACGAAACTGACATGCACCTGAATTTCGTAACCGAGTCTAATTTAAAGGTGGGCACTCTTCATGGAAGATTCACTCTTAAATGGCATTGTGCGCGCTTTGAAATGGCCGTTGCGATTTTTGGCTGATGAATAGTTGTTTGAGAAATAGCCCGACAATTGCGCCGGAAGAGAAGAGAGAAACGTTTTGGTAACTTTGGATAGATCTACGAACGAGGAAGAATACACGCTGATTGAATTTGTGGATTACAAAGTGAGAGAAGCGAGTATTATGAATATTCTTTTAGAATTCACATCGTGTAAAATATATAATATATAATATATAAGATATAAATAAATAAATTATGTATGTAATAATAATATAATAATATAGATAAGACAACATATATTATGAATATATTATTGTAAATCCCATATTCTTTAAAATTCTCAATGAAAATGCATTATGTATGAAATGTATTTCATAATAAATATAAAATACATTATGACTAGATTATTATATTATATTGTATATGTACTATGTATCTATGTTAAACATAGAATATTATTTATATATTATGTATCTGTTTTGTTAGTGGATAGTTTTATTATCTTCACTGCATGCATTATATAAATACTAATACTAAATAACTCTATGGTAAATGAACAAAATGATTTGTCGAAAAGTTGCATACATGTAATTGGACAAAGAGTTGAAATTAGAATATTAATTTCAAGTGATAAATATCTTTAATATAAATAGTAGCCATATATAAAATAATAACTATTTTTTAATAAATAAAATAAAATTTGTTTTATTAGAATTTAATTTATTAATTATCTTTAATTCTTGTTAAATCAAGATACAACGTAAAAGAATATGTTCCTCTATGCAATATAAAAAAAAAATCAAAGAATAAACGAAATCAAATTCTACGTCTGACATATTTTGGCATAATAAATGATAATACCTATTCTAATAAGTTATTGAAATTGAAATGTACAAATGTGCAATGATTTTAATTATTTTATATATCGTAATAATAATATGGAAAAAAAAGAATTACGCTATTAAAACTTATGCTTTTTTTTTAAATGAGATGTATAAAATACAAGAACCGTGTGCTTTTATATTTTATATTTTACACTTTTGTTTATGGCATAAATAATAGTATAATAGGTATTATATTTTGCACTTTTATTTGAGGCGTAAATAATTTCGAAAGAGCAGAAGGTTTAGACGTGAAAGTGTAACTAATTGCAAAGACGTTTAATTATCTGGAAGTTTGATAAGATAAAAATTTAACAGTGTCTCTCGATACATAGTATAATATTATATTATATTATGATAGATATACTACAAAAGACATGTTATAATTACACATTATATATTATAATGTCTACAGTAGGTATAATATTAGTAGGTATATTATATTATACCTTCAAATAAATTAGTATAAAATCCATTATTCTACCTAACAATGTTGATAAATATAAACAAATCTATGTCTTCATTTTCTAACAAAATATTCTGTTAATTATGTTTTATATCTTTCTTCGCATCATGTACGTATTATATATAATACATAAATATTAAAATAAAACAAGTGTGTAATTCGTTCTGCTTATGATGATTATAAAAAGTATCTATGCTGTATCTCTTTGACTTCAACAATTTGCTGTACACGTAGGAAACGTTTTCTATCAGTTGAAAATTTATTTATTTTAATCCAATTAGAAAATAAGACATCATCATTTACTTCTTTCATCTTTAAATAGTGTAATAGGTATTAAAACTTTGTTACTGAAATTAGTACAACTGTGTGAAAAAGATTCAAATTAGCAAGAAACATGCCTACAAAAAATTGTACAAAATTAAAAGCTAAAATAAATAACGTAAATGTTAAACATTAAAATTACAATAATACCTAAATAATAAATACTAGATAGTAAATAAAAATCCTACGAGAATAATCTTATTATATAAATTAATCACATTTCGAAAAAATACTTCAATTATGTTAATTGTGTTAATTTTTAATTAATGGGTAATTCATTTCTGAGCTACATCTATACATTTCTTTTAGATATAAATAGTTTGATTAATGCTATATGGAGTGTACATTACGTAAATGTTCGTCAAATGAATAAAGTAAATAAATTGTCTGGGATACTAAAAACAGAGTAATAAAATAGTACGAAACGAATTTATTTGAAGAATCGTTTCGCAAGGAAACTTCTACCAGTCGAGAGAAAGTACTGAAGGAAGTCAAACGAAATATTAATTATTTATAAAATAAGTAATCTTTCAATTTATATCTCTTGAGAAATCGTTCCTTTTTTTTTTTTTTTT